TAATGAACTACACTAATCAGTCGGTGGAGTGCATTGCGCTTCCAACTCGTTCAGAAACATACACGTGGTTGAATGCAGGTCTGACGCGTCCATCTCCCCCCTCCCCCAGTACCTGAGCCACGGTTTTTCCCCCGGAATGATTGATACTTATTGACCGAGGCTACACAGATGGAAGTTTTCGGCTGCTCAGGCAGGTTCTGATCCACCAACCGTGTAAGAATTTAGCTCCTTTTGCCACTCGTTCACCCTTCACTACCACTAGCACGTTTCTTTAACAATCGTGAATTTTTTATCCTTGTTTTTCAGGTGACGGAAACCAGTCAGCCAAAGGCACTCAAGGCTTCAATATGAGACCCGAGGATGTTGCCCTTATAACGAAAGGACTTGGAGTGCTGGGTAGGTTTGAAGAACCTCTTTTCAACCCTTTGATGCGGAGATTCAATGCCCCCTCTCAACGACTTCTTACGAACCGTTTATCGTGTGTAGGCAGGCGATTTCCAAGGAATTTGGGACAAAAGCTGAACTCAGCCAACTGCTATGTGACACTTAACTTGGACACTTCACTGAGGTTTCATGGGTTTCGATTGTCCTTGAAGGAAATGAAATCAATAGGATAGCCAGATTCTCGGCTTTATCATCCGTTGAGCGTCAGTGGAAAGCTGAATTTCCATTCCACCGTCTCACCATCAGCGACAACTCACTATGCTCGACTCCGTCATAGAATCCTATTCATGATGTCCTACGATGGAATCCTATTCCTTAAAGCAGTGCATGGTCCGGCGTGGGCGAGAATGGGGAGAATGTTCCGCTAGGTGCAATCCCCCCTCCCAGTTTTATTAGCCGGCTTTCTCCCCTTCCACAAACAACCAATCAGCTGCCATCCCCTGCAGCTTCCACAACCGACCAGTGCACTGTCGCTTATTTCATGAGCTCCGCCTCTGGACTATAGGGGTATTTAATTCGCTAAAAGCCCAAATCTGGTGAAGCTCGCGCGCACAAAGTTGTTATGATCGCTATTTCCCCGTCGCTTCGAATGAACTCGATGCCTACTCTGCACAAACTTCGTTTCATTTAGTAGCTTCGCCTTGTTTTGGCCGCCTGCTTCTTCAGCACAATAATTACCGGCGGGCAAACTTGATGCAAGCTTCTTCGAAGGCAGCACTCCGCGTCGGAGTACAATAAGGAACAGCACGTTGTCTATTCAGTCATTTGATAGAAACTGATGCCAGTTTGCGAAGTCAAAGGGTTAAAATTCTTCGGGAAACAGGGTTCGGTTTTCAATTCCGTGGTAGAACAATAGGATTAAGCTTACATGGTGCTGTTTGGCTCAGGGGGGGGGGCACTTTCCGCTCCCGCTGCTTCCTTTTGCTAGTTCATATTAAGTAACAGGTCTCTCCTTGGTAAGACCTGTAGACTCTTGTCAAGGGTACCCGAAGCTCCTGCTGTTGTGCAGCTTTACAAGAACTCACAAGTTTCCACAGGGCATCGGCTGTGATCAGTGGGAATCAGCAATGCCCCACCAAGGCGCGCTGCGCCGCTTGCATATTTCAAATTGTTCTGCTGCTTGGCAAAATTTATTATACAAATGTCAACCTTGTCGGCTTCACGAAAACCACCCGTTCTGACCATGCCGATAGTTTTGCGTCCGGATCCAAACGAAACGCTAATCCGTTTGTTAACAGACTTCGCCTCGGCGTGACCGCTGGAAAACCGGTTATTTTGAGAGTTTTGATTACATAGAAACATCCAAAGACTTATTATGCGGCAAATTTTGCGGGCCATGCTTAGAGCAGCGCGTGCCGAGATTCCTTCCCTTGGCCTCTGAGGCAAATTGTCAAGCCGCTCGGTCTTCACTGCCGGTTGAATCTCAATTCCTTTGGTTCCTTATGCTACTAAAGACACTTTCTGCGATTACGAGTCGTGGGCTGTGTGGCTTAAACATGACTATCTAGGCGCCACTAACTTCCCAGAGAAGAAGGAAGTGGACAAATTGGTGGAAGGTGCCCTTAATAGGGCTGTGAATGGGATGAATATTCCAACAAGCGAGACACAGCTACGCAAGCAAGGGCAGAGATAAGGGATGGCGGAACATCAAGGCGAGCTTCAAGAGGAGTGAAACATTGGTCCGACCCATAGAGAATGGACGCAACGTGTCACATTTGTGCCTAGAGGATCGCTGGCATATCTCGTCCTTCGATGGGCGTGGCATCTTCTATGGGTGGCATGCTTCCGACGACCGCTGCACTCACGTCGCTATCTGTGAAGCCACCAAAGTGGGAAATCTCTGAGATTTTAGGCCAGACTACCTGGCAAGGAAGATTTTCTACCCGTTAGATTAACCGCAGAATGATCTTTGAGGCGCTTTTCATCCCCAAGGTTGGGAAAACACGTAGTGAAAAGTTTTAGTTTGGATTTCAGTTCGACCAGAAAATTGACCCCAAGCCCTTTATTGCTGCTTACCATTAGTTACCGCCATGATTTCAACTGTTCCCCCATTTGTCTCGTTCTTTCCTGTACGGAATTCTCTTGATCTTTCGGGAAGCCTCAGTTTTAGAGATTCCCTCATTTTTGAACCGTATGCAATGTAAGTTTTTCAGCCCAAGTAGTCAAGGACCGAACTTCGGCAAAAGGGGCAGAAGGAGAAGGTGAGCAGCCATTTTTCTTGATAATTACCCCTGTCATTGTGTTGATCTCTTTCAGCTACCAAAGTGGATACAGCCGGTGGAAAGAACCCACCATTGTCTAGTGGGGATGCCGAACAGGGTGAG